TTTGCATTTGTCTTTTGACTTGAAAATGAGGTGTGTGTGTTTTTTGTTTTTTTACAAAAATCAGATGTTTTCTAGTGAGAGAACTTTTCGGTAGTTTTGTCAAGTTATAGCATTTTGGGCAATACTTGAGAGATTTATTTTGACAATTTTCTAGTAAGCTACAGTAGTTATTAAAGTTAATATTTACCCTTTTTATTACCTAAGAAAAGCACATCCAAATTGGTAACTTTCAAGTGTACGTAAGGGGAAATGTGGGGCACTTGGTGCATACTGTAGGGTTAATGGCCATTAATATAGGAACTGTTATCTTTTGAAGTACTGGCAAACAAAGATACTTTCACTTTACAATAACTTAGAAACATAAAACAGTAGATGTAAAGGAGAATTGAAGTTTTTGTTTTTTGTTCATTGCTTTCATGTTGAAATTGGCATATTTGAGGTTATAAAAGTCTAATGTGACCAGTTTTAATGTACCTTTATTGAGTGAAGTTAAATTTTACTGATTTAGGGTTTAAGCCTTTGGAATTTATTATATTAGAAATGAAAGCGTTTATGTAATATTGTGAGATTGTATGGAACTTCTTTAACAGGAAAATGAAATCAATACAATTTCTGGAAAGTATAAGGAGATTCCAAGATCTTTTTGGAACAATATATGTGAAGAGAATATTCTAGGACAGTGTTTCTCAAACTGTGCTCCGTGGACCCCCAGGGCTCCATGAAACATCTCCAGAGGCTCCATGAGGTTGACAAACTGGAAACATCGATGGGTACAACACATACAATCAGTGGACTGCTGGGGCTCCGCATAAGTACAACACATACAATCAGTGGACCGATGACGCTCCGCATAAATTTTTATGCATGTAAAGGGCTCCGGAGCCCAAAAAGTTTGAGAACCACTGTTCTAAGAAGTTCCTTGAAGTGGGGGGAAACTCAGGATTTCCCTCCTGAAGCCAAAAGATTGAAGATAAGACCTGGAGGGAGAGGCCCATTGTGTACTAATTACTTGCTTCTGGAAATTCCAGATCAAAGAGCCCTTGCTCTGTATAAAAAGGTGGACTACATTTCTCATGAGTATACTTGTTCTGAGCTGAATCTGTGATGAACCTGTAACCACAAGGAAACCCTTAGGGTGGAAAGACTGCCATTGACAGATCCTATGTTAGAGTTGTAATGAAACCTGGTAAGCTCATTAGCATCTGTGTTTTTAATAGTTTCTTTTTAATGCTTTTTAACCATAAGAATGAAGTAGGTTTCATTGGAAAGAAATACGTGGTAACTTATATCTATACCAATTACTTCATTATCAGAAAGAAAAAAAAAACAAGCAGAAAAAAAACCCAAGCAGAATAAGGCAGATTGTTTTTACTGGATGTAGAGTGAAGGCAGGGAACTGTTCAGTCTGATTATACCTTGGTTAGAAAGGATTGAGATGTGAGTCTCTATGCAAAAGCAGCAGCAGCTGGGGGTGTTGGAAGCCTGAGAATGGATACCTTTCCTTGAACCTCTGTGGGGTGGGGGTGAAAATGTGGGGGGTGGCGAGGAATGGAAGTGTAGTTGCCCTGAACTGTTACATCTAAGACTGACTTCTGTTATTTCTTGTTGAGGAAAAACCTTCACATCTAATTTATTGAGGGTGTGAGGTTGTCATGCAAACCCTTGTCTCTCTTCCAGTGCCAGTGAGCCAGAAGATAATCTCCTAAATATGTTCATGAACAGTGCATAGCTGCCTATTGAAATAATTTGTGCTATTTTTTCAAAGGTTAAACTAACTTTTGTAATATAATTGTGGATGATTCATTTTGTTATCATGATGGTGACAATGGCTGTGTTAACCACATCTTTCCTTTGTCTTTATCTAAATTAAAGCAAATTTTGGCCTGAATAAAAAAGCACTTGCGTGGTTAAATTCAGTTAATTTAACTCTTGTTTAACTTGAAGCATTTGCTTAACTCCCATTAATTTAATATATATGATTTTTGGAATCTAGCCATTTCTGAGAAAACAAGTACATTGCTGCAACAGTTGTTGAAAATGCTTTCATTTTGTACAGCTCTACTCAAATATGCAAAATACCCACTGGGCGAGCTAGTGATTTATCATTGCCATACACTAGCACACCACATCAAATAAAAGGAGAATGTACTTGAATAGGACTTGAAACAGATTTGTAGAGGAATTGCAGATAGGAAAATGAAGTTCCTGAAGTCAGGAACAATAAAGCCCTGTATCTAGAAATTGAACTCGGTACAGGTGATATAACAAGACATAAATGGTAGTGCATAAATGGGCACTTAATCATTGATCAGATTGTACAGATGAGGAATCCATAATCGAATGTCTTAAAGCTTAAATTTTGATTTGTCAAACTAAGCTTAAGGTTAGCCTAGGGATGTAAACGACTCGTCAGATATCTGATAAGCATAAGCTTATCATGTAGTTGAATAATGACTCGACTAGTCACTCCCCCTCCTCCCCCTGCTGCCTTTATCAGAGGCAGCCAGGGGGCGGGGAGCAGGAGCCAGTGCTGGTGGAAGCCAGTTCCCCCCAGCACCGTTTTTGTGGGGCTGGGGCTGAGGCAGAGGCAGAGACATAGCGGAAAACAGTACGAGCCAGGGCTGAAGTAGTCCCCACTATTGCTGGTTCCCATTGCTGCACTTCAGCCTTTGGAATGTATCAAGAGCCCTGCGTCTTGCTAAATTCTAAAGGCTGAAATGCCACAGAGGGAACATGGGGTGAGCGGTACTACTTGAGTTCCTGCTTGCTCTGTGCTCCCTGCGGCGCCCCCTCTCCCTTGCTGCCTATGTCTATCCGCTGCTAATAGGGACTGTTGGACTCAGCGCGAGCTGGGACCGAGCAGCTCTGGCTTGAGTGGGGATACTGCATCTCTGCATTTGAAATGTAAGAGCCTGCCAGCTCTTAATATATTTTAAATGTAGAGCCGCAGTGCAGGTAGCTCTCGGAGCTACTCCCGCTGCGGCTCTGTATAGCAGTCCTAACAATTTATCGTATAGTCAGTACAAACTGTATTGACTGTACAATTAGCTCAACAACCGCAATGTAACATCCCTAGATTAGCCAGTATGACTGCCTGAATGGTTGAGAAAACGTGAATAATGCAAGGTATATCTAAAATTTCAACATGCTGATACATTCTAGAGAGACAATAAGGGAAAACAACTTTTGGGCTTTACAAACGAGTACGGACAAATAATTTGACAGGAGGTAAAATTAAGTATCTGTATATTTTACTAATACTGCGTAGATGATAACAACGTAGAGTGTTGGTATTTTGGGTATTGTGGACACCCCCAGAAGAAAATGTAAGTGTAGAAGCTATTTCTAATTATAAGAATTTTATCACAAATATAATATAGTTTAAAAAATCTAAAAGCATGTTTATATAATATAATGGTCCTTTCCTTTTTAGTATGCTTGATCCAGCCTCTTGGATATAGGGAAATCTTGAAACACAGACCTCAATCCTTTTGAGGTGCTTTAAATAGCCATGGTCATTCCCAATTCAGAAGCTCAGTCTTGTCTCTGTAGGTTTTTTTTTAGTACAGCCAGCCAGATACCTCATTTAAAAAGCTCCAAGAAAAGCATCTGAGGAGAAGTCCTTAAGGGTTGTTTGCATAAAAACTTTGACAAGTAGAGTCAGAGCTCAGCACATCCACATGTGGACCATGCTTTCTTACTGCTTTACTTCAAGCTAACGTTACAGAAACTCTACCAGAGTCCAAAGTGTTTTTTAAGCTCTTCTAGGCATCCATGCTGCAAGATACTCAAAGATAGTGGGAGTACTTATTTTCTTATGATTAAGCACGTGCTTAAATACATTGCTCAACTAAGTCCTTTGAACGGAAGTGACTTCTGCTTACACAATATGACAGAAAATAGAAAATCAAAATCAAAAGTAAGGAGCCTGTATAGTAAGGGGCATGTATAACTGATAGTTTCAGTTGCCTTGAGGTGAGTTACCTTATTCTCATGCATAGAGGCTGCAAAGTGTTTCAACTTATCTGTGAAGATTCTTCTGTCAGACACTGAGAAATGTGGTAGCTGGCCTTGGGAAAAGAAATATGACCATCACCTACATAAATGTGATGCACAACCATACAGTTTTCTAGTATGAAATAAGGGAAAATGCCACCAAAGAAACTTTAGACAGCAGTTCGCAACCTTCTCCAGATGGGGGGCTCATTTTGACAATTCAGGAAGACTTGATGACCCAAGGCAGTTAAAAAACAGGAGGAGGATAGGGTACAGAGTCACCTGGGGAGACACTTGGCAATCTTTTTGAAATGTAATGGCAACCCATATTTGGGCCTGACCCATAGGTTGGGAAACCCTGCCTTAGAGCATCCCCCGTTGAAGTATATGTGTAGAAAACACTTATTACAGTAGACTTCCTATAATCCGGCACCTTTGGGACCCAGGGGGTGCTGGATTATCGGATATGCCGGAGTATCAGGAGGGGGAGACACTTGGCAATCTTTTTGAAATGTAATGGCAACCCATATTTGGGCCTGACCCATAGGTTGGGAAACCCTGCCTTAGAGCATCCCCCGTTGAAGTATATGTGTAGAAAACACTTATTACAGTAGACTTCCTATAATCCGGCACCTTTGGGACCCAGGGGGTGCTGGATTATCGGATATGCCGGAGTATCAGGAGGTTCTGCAGTGCCAGGGGAGTGACGGGTATGGGGGGGTCGGCAGGGAACGGCGCGGTATGGGGCAAACCCTCCACCGTTTTGCAGGGAGGCGGGGGAAGCCCCGTGCAGCCGCCGGCGACAGACATCG